CCTCAGAGTCACAGCCTCTGCATTCCCCTCAGCCCGAGCTAACCCCTGAGAGTCACAGCCTCTGCACTTAGTTAGAGGCAAGGCCTGAAGAATTCTGTCTACTGTTCTGGTCACCCACCTCCTACTCACAGCTGAAAGCCCTATTCAGAGGCACTCTTTGTACAGCCAGCATCTTTCATGGAGTTCTTTAGTGTGTATCAGTTCTTCTCACAGGGTGCTGCCTGGTCTGGGACCTACTCCATGTTCTAAACTGACCTTAAACTGCCTCTAGAGAAGTACTGTCATTACAGGTTTGTGCCACTGCGTCCAGCCACAAAGCTGACATTTATAAATTTTATTAGCTGATGATTTTTAAGATTTTTTTTTTTTGAGATAGTATCTCACTATGTAGCCTTGGCTGTCTTGGAGCTCATGAATGAAGGAGTTAAAGGTATGTGCCGCTTCGCCAGGCCCGTATTTACTTTCTATTACGTGTCTGGACTTTGTGGAGCATGTGCATACAGTGTCTATGGAGGCCAGATGGTGTGGGCCCCCTGGAACCTGAGTTCAGTTGTGCGCTGCCATTGGGTGCTGGGAACCCTGGCTCTCCTTAAGGGCAGGCAAGGCTCTTAACCACTTTGCATCTCTCCAGCCCATTTTTCCAAAGTTTAGATTTTAAACGCTTCCCAAGGCCAATATTCTGAAGTTGTGTATGATATTGGGAGGTGAAGGAACATTGGGGTACACTGGTGAAGGGGATGCTGGGAACCCAACCTCTCCATTTCTTTCTTGGCTTCCTGGCTACAAACAGCTTCAAAAGATGAACAGAAATCTAAGTCAGAAAGCCTTTCCTCTGTTAGATACCACCTCCTGCATTTTGTCACATCAATAGGAAGCTGACGGACTTTCTTAGAATCACTCAATCCTCAAGCTGACTGCTCCTTGTTACACTGTGCAAACCCCAAGTCACTCCCAAAAGCCAGGATGGTTGTTCCCATTTGATTTTGTCACTGTTAGTCTGGAAGTTTACATGGCCATATCTGAACTTAACCTAAAGAACCAGGAGAGAGCCGGGCAGTGGTGGCGCACACCTTTAATCCCAGCGCTTGGAAGGCAGAGGCAGGTGGATTTCTGAGTTCGAGGCCAGCCTGGTCTACAGAGTGAGTTCCAGGACAACCAGGGCTACACAGAGAAACCCTATCTCGAAAAAACAAAAACAAAACAAAAAAAAGAACCAGGAGACAGTCCTGGGCATGGTGGCAAAACCTAAAACAAAACCCCAAAACAAGAAATAACTAAGTAAATAATCCAAGGTAGAGAGCCCCAGAAGAAGACTGCCACCTCTGGCTGCAGGCTATGTCATGAACACAGAGCTGGGAGGGCCAGCCACTGGAATGGACGTGGAGCATCTGCATGCTTGGCAAATACTCACCACCAAGTCACCTTCAAAAGCCGAGCTCAATTCAGGGTGAGGCTGTCCCAGCAAGGGAGCAAAGCATTCTGAACCAGGCTCCCTGCATACCCAGATTGGGCTCTGGGTGTCAATGCCAAAAGCCAGCCCAGAAGCTCCCCTGAGTACCCCCTTCCCTCCCACCCTCCCAGCCCTGGCCTGGGGATAGCAAGCACTTGGCCCTGTCATGCACAGCTCTAAGAGCTGATCCTATGCCAAGGCTCGGAACCAGGAGTTCATTTCTTCATTCTATCACATCTCTGAGGTTGGGGCAGGGCTTGGGGGAGACAGTCGGACCCTTCCCGTGCCTCCCATGGCCTGCTCACATGTTCTTCTGGGCCAGAATTATGGCATTGACGTCATCAGTGTTCACCATGCTGAGGAAGCGGCCACAGAAGACCCTTGAGGCTGAGTCTGGGGTGTCCATCTCGTTCTCCTCGGCCTCCTATGCCTGAAATGACCGGAACAGACAAGTGAGGATGTCAAGAGCCCATCATGACCCCCAACACATCACCCCAGCTGGAAATGGGTGTTTGGGGGCCTAACAGGAACATACCCCCAGAAAACATAAGCCTGAAGGGCTGAGCATGGTAGCACATTTGTTGATTCCAGCATTTAGGAAGCTGAGGCAGGAGGACAGAGACCTAAGCTACCTGGGGCTGAAAAGTGAGATCTTCACTCTGCCACCCTCCATAGCACCCACCCTCCATAGCACACACTGGGCCAAGCCCCAGGAATGTGCACAGGCCTAGTTGGGTATGTCATTTCTTTCACTGTCCACACTAGGTCTGTAGGCCATTCCACCTCCTCTCAGGCTTCAGGCCTGTCCAGCTTCAGGTCAGTGTTTTCTATGGAACACCACATGCTAGAGTGCTCACATGAGAGAGGACAGACTACAGGGACTGTTTTTCCTCTTGGATAGACCCTAGGCTCGCAACAGGTGGCCATAGACACCACACAAAAACTCAGGTCCTTTTCCAGTCCAGCAAGTACTGTAGCATGTCTGCAGATCCATTCTTCCACCAGCTTCCTGGACCTGCTCCCCACCCCACGGTCGCTGAGCCCAGCTCTGTGTATAGGTTCTAGAGACCAAACCTGGGTCCCTAAGCACGTCATCAGCTCAGCTAATTCAGCAGGGCCACACTGTGTAGCACAGGCTGGCTCGAACTCTATGTAGCCCACAGTGGTCCCACCTTTAGCTGAGGACAACCTTGACTTCCTGATTTTCCTGCCTTACCTCCTGAGTGCTGGCACCTGGTTTTCATACATATGTATGAGTGCATGCATGTATGTACTGTGGTTCATATGCATGTGAATGTCGGAGGGCAACTTTGGGAGTTGGTTCTGTTTCTACCATGTTGGTAGCCTAGGACAGCTAGGGCTACACAGAGAAACCCTATCTCAGAAGGAAACAAAACAAAATACTCAAAAAACAAAACTTTACATATTTACTGTTTTGAGACAGGATCTAACTCTGTAGCCCTGGATGGACTGCAACTTGTTATGTAGACCAGGCTGGCCCATCTCTTAGGTCAAATTGCTGTTGCTGGAACATAAGACCTCGCACATGCTCTACACATGAGGACCTGTGGTTATTCAGCCCTGCTCCTGATTAGCTTTTTCTTTTTTAAATCTATTTATTTTATGTATATGAGTGCTCTATCTGCATGTACACCTGCATGCCAGAAGAGGGCATCAGATCTTATTACAGACGGTTGCAAGCACAGTGTGGTTGCTGGGAATTGAACTCAGGACCTTTGGAAGAGCAGCCAGTGTTCTCAACCACTGAGCCATCTCTCCAGCTCCCTGATTAACTTAAAGAATGGACTTAATATAGACTTTGTCTCTGGGAATCACCTGACTTTCTCACATTTCTTTCCTCCAAAGCACCAACAGTATCTGTGGCCTGAATCTGACTAGTATAGTATAGCCCTGCATCTTCTATAAACTAGCAAGGACAGGGCAGTCGTGGCGAACGCCTTTGATCCCAGCACTCAGGAAACAGAGGCAGATAGATTTCTGTGAATTCAAGACCAGCCTGGTCTACAGAGTGAGTTCCAAGACAGCCAGGGCTACAGAAAAACCCCGTTTCAAAAACAAAAACAAAATGAAGAAGAAAAGAAACTAGCTATGGGTGGGGATAGCCCCCTCCATCCAAGAAACATACCAAGTCCAGTCACCCAGTAATCAAGCATGACCATGGACAAAAACAGGGTTTTAGAGCCCAGGATAAAGGGAAAAGAGTAATTCAAGAAGATCCAACCTTCATGGCCAACCAGAACTTCACAGAGCTTCCCAAACCGACTTGGGCAACATAGGAAGACTGGCCCTATTTCAGGTGGATGGCATGTGAGATGGTTTAGTGCCAAAAAATGTTTGCTGTCTAAACTGTGGACTCCTGTTCAAGCCCTGGGACACACCTGGCAGAAAACTCTTGCAAGTTGTCTCCTGCACAAGAAAGTGCATGCCCATATTTCCCAAAATAGAGCGTAAATTGTCTTTTTTTTTTTTTTTTTTTGGTTTTTCGAGACAGGGTTTCTCTGTGTAGTCCTGGCTGTCCTGGAACTCACTCTGTACACCAGGCTAGCCTCAAACTCAGAAATCCGCCTGCCTCTGCCTCCCAAGTGCTGGGATTAAAGGCGTGCGCCACCACTGCCTGGCGTAAATTTTCTTAAAAAGAAGAAAAATGACTTGTGGTTAAAGGGCACAGTCAGCAACTAGGTTAACAGCTAGCATCTCTCATGCAGAATTTTGATTCCAGAGATTTTGTTCTAGATCAGGTATTAGCCCTGGTCTGGGGCTGAACTGGTAGCAAGCAGAAGGAAGCCCTGGGTTCCTCAGAATTTAAGTTCAGTTTGGGTTGTACATTCTGAGATCTAAGCCACCCTAAGATGCATGAAACCTTTACGAGTCAGGTGTGGTGAATTCCCGTGTACAGTGCTAGAGAAGACAGGAAGATCAGAAGTTTCAGGTCATCCTTTGCTTTGTGAGTTCCAGGCTAGCCTGGACAAATGAGACCCTGACCCAAAACAAGATTCAACGCAAGTCAGATGGGGTAACTCACTCACACTTGTCATCCCAGTACTCGAGAGACTAAGGAAGGTCAAGGAGATGGAAGCCAGTCTGGGCTGCTATCTCAAAAATTTAATGACTTTCTCCTTGTACTTGGGTGGCTGAGGCAGGAGGATTACCAGGAATTGCAGACTAATTTGAACTATTATCTGGAAAAAAAAAAAAAAACACTAACTCTCCCCCAGGAATGCCAGGCTGACTGGAATGGTTCTGCGCCTCAAGGTCACAAGTAGGAGCACAAGGAGCGGTCCCGCCTGAGTCCTCTAACCAACTTCAACTTTGCGGCGAAACTCTAAAAGGGAAAACAACAACAACAACAACAGAACCAAACCGGATAAGGCGAGGCTCAACATACACGGAGTCCCCACCCTTTCGAGTGGGGAAACTGAGGCACAAACGCACTCCAAGCCGCTCAGGGCTCCCAGTTGCGGACGGTCACACAACTGGGGTTCCCAACTAGATTTGGCCGCGCTGCCGCTGCGCATCCGGAAAACCGAGGCTGTGTCAGTCCCAGAGCTAGAATGGGCCCTCCCTCCCGCCGCGGCCGCCTAGTACCCCGGGGTCCCGCCCTGCCCCGGCTCCGGCTTCTCGGGCCTCAGCACCTGAACATCTGGCGGCCTGGCTCGCGCTTCCGGGATGGCGCCCGCGCGCATACGTCATCACGGAGCGTCCACGAGCTCGACTCCAGGCGCCTAGGAGCCTGCGCGTACTCGCAGCAACGGGGAAGGACCAAAATGTAGAAACACTTAGCACAAAAGGATGACCAATCACAGGACGATGTATGCGCATGCGCAGTGTCCCAAACATAGCTCCTAAGCAATCTGCAAGTGGGCAAATAAATGTACTATTTATTAATCCAGGGTCACACAAGGAAACCTTGTCTCGAAAAATAAAAACACAAGGTCCTATGTACCCAGGCTGGATTCCAACTTGCCATGTATCTGAGGTTACCCTTAAACTCCTGGTCATCCTGCCTCTACTTCACGCCATTGTATGTCACCACACAGTGTGTGACTTTCAGGTTTTTGAGACATCGCTGTAGCCCAGGCTGCCCTGGTAGTCAGTATTGTGAGAAATAACCCCCACTCTATTATAAAGAGTCTGGTGAAAGAAAAGCAGGGATTTGATTTGTTTTGTTTGGGTTTTTCTTGTGTTTTTTCGAGACGGTTTCTGTAACAGAGCCCTGGCTGACCTGGATTTGTTTATTTAGAACTCATAGAGATCTGCCGGCCTTTGGCTCCTGAGTGTTTGGATTAAAGGTCGGTGCCACCAGGACCCGCCAGTCTTCGTTTTTTGAAACAAAGTTTCTCTTTTTATTTCTGGTTGTCTTGGGACTTTCTCTGTAAGTCCAACTAAGAGAACAGTTTTTAATATGCCTTCTGCAGAAAGGGACTTCAGCATAGCAAAAAGGTAGAGGCTGGCATGGTGATTTCTTGCAAACAAGACAGTGTTTGACTTCCTTCTTCTTTCTTTTTTTTCTCCTCCTCCTTTTTGTGTGTAGTTCTGGCTGTCCAGTAATGTCCTTTAGTATTTTGACCAGGCTGCTCTCAAACTCAGATCTGTCTTCCTCTGCCTCCTGTGTGCTGGGATCAAAGGTGTATACCACTATGCTGGACTAAAGCAGTAGTTTTTAAAGTCCTGATCATAAGAAACTCTTGGCTACTTTTTCCCATAACTGGATACTCAGAGAGTTACAATCTTTGTACACCATATCATAGTCTTTAAATTCCCCATTCAGGGATTAAAAATCTTATCAAATGAGTTGTCTAGCCTTGAGCCTGACTATCCCTTCTCTGACTGTGTCATGGTCACATAGTAGAGTGCCTGCAACTTTACACCATCCTGGGTACTAAGAGAAGCAGACAGCAGGTGCCAACTCAGGGCAAGAGGAGCCTAGCACTTCATGCTATCTGTGATTCTTTGGTGGATTCTAAGTATACCTGATACTGAAAATGTACCAGAATAAATTATTTTCACATCATGAATCAGGAGCTGGCCTTGAAATTCCTGTCTATCCTCCTGCCCCAGCTTCACTGGTGCTGGGAGTGAAGACTTGCTGCACCATCCCTATCATCTGGACAGTTCTTCTGTTTGAGTACCACATGAGGTGGGGGTGGGGTATCTGAAGAGTTACTTTTTCCTAGCAATCTGGTTCTTTTTAAAACTTTCTAACCCCTTTATTACTTTATGTGTATGAATAATTTATGTGTATGAATACATTACCCATATAAATATACCATGTATGTGTAGCATGTGCCTATGGAAGTCACAAGAAGTCAAATCTTTGGGAGTTACAGACGGCTGTGAGCTGCCATGCGGGTGCTGGGAATGAACCCAGGTCCTCGGCAAGAGCAGCCAGGGCTCTCAACCCCTCAGTCACCTTGTCTATCATGATCCTTTTATTCCTCTGTCCTTGACTCTGTTTCCTTCTCTCTCTCTCTCTCTCTCTCTCTCTCTCTCTCTCTCTCTCTCTCTCTCTCTCTCCCCCACCCCCCAAAGCAGCTTGCTTCTTCTGTTTGCTGTTTAGAAAAGATTCCTGATTCAGGTTGCTCACTGCTGTCTGTATGGCTGTGTAGAAGCTCTGGAAGACACTCTATCCTGAAGTGTCTGAAAGACCTATTCCAAATTGATAAGACCCAAATGTGAAAGCTTCTCAAGTCTTTCCACAGGACAACATATTCTCCTAGACTTCATCAGCTTTTAGATGCTATACAGCCAGGAGGGCTAGCACACACCTGGAATCCCAGCTGCTGGAGACGCTATCACCACAAATATATGGCCAACCTGGGCTACAGAGTGAGTTCAAAGTCAGGCTGGACTATGTATAGAGTGAGACTTTCCTATCTCAAAAAGAAAATAAAATGCCAGGTGGTGGTGGCACATGTTTTTAATCCTGATACTCGAGAGGCAGAGACAGGTGGATCTCTGTGAGTTCTAGGCCATCCTGGTCTATAGAGCTAGTTTCAGGGTAGCCAGAGCCACACAGAAACCCTGTCTCGAAAAACAAAACCAAAAAAGAGAAAAAAAGAGGAAGAAAGAAAAAAGAGATATAACTGTATGACAGCATGAGCCCACATTTAAAGGAACAAGCAATGGAAAAGGGTTACACAGTGGAGTGGGGCCATGGGTGTGGGCAGTCCTGAGCTCAGTCTACAGAACCAACATGGTAAGACAGAACTTATTCATTTTTGGGGGGGGGGTTCGAGACAGGGTTTCTCTGTATAGCCCTGGCTGTCCTGGAACTCACTCTGTAGACCAGGCTGGCCTCAAACTCAGAAATCTGCCTGCCTCTGCCTCCCAAGTGCTAGGATTAAAGGCGTGCGCCACCACTGCCCGGCTTCCAGCTGACAGAACTCATTCTTGCAAATTGTCCTTTAGCATTCACTTGTGTACCAGAGTGCATGTTATATAATATATACAATATATATGTATAGTATATTATACACATTATACATATATGCATATACAATATATATTATACATATTATACTTTTATATATATATTCCTGCAAGTTAAAAAAAAAAAGACACTGAGGTCTACAGTGCTCAACCGAGCACCCACCTAACATGTGCAAAGGTCTCAGATCCCATTTCAAGTACTACAAGAACCAAAGAACAACAAAAAACCAAAACACTGGGTTTCAGATATAGCCAGGTTCAAATCCCTCAGAACTGGAACTAGCCCATGGTTTCTTTGAGATCAAGTGGAAGAATTAGAGGATCATTCTTGAAAGGGGAGGGACAGCTCAGGGAGGGACTAAAACAGCTCGGGAGAGTAGATAAACCCCTTCCAGTGAGAGCTGCTCCCTTCTCCCCAGCACCTTAGCGCCCTCTGGCAGAGCCTGCATGGAGAGCAGGCATTTACTGAACACCTGTGTGCGGCAGGTGACTATCTGGGAACTAGAACATAATGGCTGGTGGCTGTAGTGTCCACTTGGGCTTGTCACTGTCCTTCAGCTTTGAGCTATTGTTCTCTTCGTGCAATGGAGCCAAGTTCGGTAGTGAACTTCTGATCCGCTGATCCCCACTTATCAAGTGCTGAGATGACAGGCCAGCGCCCTGCCTGGCTTCCTGACCACGTCTGTACTTTCAGGGTAACTTAGTAAGCAGTCATACAAGACCCCAGAACCTCACAAGCAAGCTAGTTAACACTTTGTAGTTAGGAGTAGTGGCTCCCAGCAATCAGGGAGTTGAGGCAGGAAAACTGCTGCCAGCTTGGGCTACATGGTCAGACCCTGGCTAACCAAAATACAATTTAAAACATAAAACAAAAGAGAATGCTATAATAAAATAAAAGAGTTGAGACGTGTGTGGGTAGCACACACCTTTAATCCCAGTAGCTGACAGAGGCAGTATGTTCTTCATGAGTTCAAGGCCAGCCTGGTCTGGTAAACGTCCTGTGTCCAGGACAGCCAGGACTATAGAGAGATGCTCGCTCCCATCCCCAGGAAAAGAGAGGGGGAGGGAAGAAGAGGATATGAAATAAAGTATTAAGTAAAATTATGAAAAATTACTGTTTTCCAAAGAGCCCCCAAACTGGCCGCTCATGAACTGCAGTGTTTCTTGTTTATTTCTAACTCCTACTTGAGAAGGAGGAAGCCGGTGCCGGAGCGAACTCAAATCTGGACGTGCCGCTACCCTCCCCTACTGAGGCCCAGCCCAGTGCGTTCCCACCTCCCACGCCCAACAGCCCCTCCACCTAGAGGCTAGAGCCCCTTTAAGAACTGGTAGCGGAGCTTACCAGGAAGGAGGCGGTGTCGAGGGCGCGAGACGGACTTGTGCACAAGCCAATAAGCGAGGCAGACGCAGCGCGACTAGCCAATGGGCGTGCGGGGGCGGGGCGGCGCATCTGAAGCTGTTTCCCGAGGCGCGGCGGCCGCGGCTGGGGGCGGGGAGGGGGCACAGGACCCCAAGTGGGGTCCCCGAGCCGCAGGCACGTGTGACCGGGCGTAGCGAGGAGACCGAGGCTCCCGGGGCGGAGGCCTCCCGAGGCCGAGGGGGCCGGGGCCTCCCGGGGCGGTAGTGTCGACCGGGCGCGGGGCGGCGTTGGGGTGCGGGGCGCGCGGGGCATTGTGGGGGCTCGGGGCGGGAGGGTCTCCGGTCGGGGCCGGATCCCGGAAGGAGCCCCGCAGGTGAGGGTCGCAGGGCAGGGACGCAGGGCTCCGAGGCTTCCTGGGGTTTAAGTAGAGGGCCTTATGGCTATGTAGGGTTCTGCAGCTGGGTTGGGGGCCTCCGCGAGAGGCCTGGGGCCAGCGAGATGGTACAAGATTCCATATTGGTGTTCCCACTGCTATTTGGCTTTTATTTAATTTTGAGATTCTGTCTCCCGTATTCTAAGCTAGTCTGCCA